ACACCCACACCCTATACACATATATGAAATGTATAAATATTTTTTTCTTTTTCGTTTTATTCCTCATGTAACACGTGTATGATATTTCTTACTGATAAATACAATATTAACCATAAAAATAAGATATATACCATAACCTACTGCCTATTTCACTTGTTACTCATCAACTATCTATTTTCTTCTTTATATTTGCGTGACGGAAAAATATAAAATTTTGTATTCAATTTCCATCTACAACAACTTGATCATGCTGTGTAGCAAACTTTCATCAGGTAATACGGTCATTTCTAGCGTTAACAATATAAATCATATGTCCTACAATGTTAATATCGATTCCTTATGGACTACTGAGTTGATTTAAATGAATTTTCCTTCCATTTTATCTAACAATAGTAATATCAATTTTGTATTCATTTAGTAGTATTAATATCCGTAAATGAAGCTTTCCGTTCTATAAAAGAAAAGAAAAGATTCTTCTCGTTTCCAAATGAATAAAAGTCAGTTGTGGTATAAAACGATTTTCATCTATAAATCATTACTTATTCTTTATTTAATCTTATATGAATTAAAGATAATCGGTTACAAATCATTAAAATCATAGAAAAATTATATTAGATAGTACTGCATATAGTTAAATTCATACAGAATTAGATGCTATTATAATTATGACGAGAAGAAGTTACTAAATATTAATAATGGTTCATGTTTAAGTTTTAAAGGACAATATTGAATTAAACAACACAGTTAACTTGAATACATTATTATCTTCATAGATCATATTTCCCTTTGACAAAATCTCCTAGATTTTTCTTAAGGAAGTCGGTACTATTGAATTTAATACAACAAACTTTTTAAAGATTTTTCGATAAATCAAACAGACCCTAGATTTAATAACAAACCTACGCATTTAATTTTTGTATCAATCCAATCTGCAGGATGATTAGATATTAATTGAGATGCCAAAATCTGTTCCTTAAAATAGGTCGTTATTAGAAGAATAAAAACATTATTGTGAATCATCTCGATTTATTCGTACGAAAATATATCATCTATTAACCATCTGTTTCTCTTACTTTCGATAGACATATATATGCTATATTTCTTTTTGTTTAAACATATCATTATAGACATTGATGAATATATTTTGAATAATAAGAGGTCGTTATCTATCAATCAATGTATTATATATATAATATATATTTCCATCATAGATGTCGCATGGAATATTCAAACAAACATATTCCACAAATAAATGTTTATAAGTTAGACTTAGTTACAATCGAATGTTATCATAAGAAATAAAAAAAACCTCATTTTTTTTCTCTATTCTGATTGCTTATCAGTCCGAATAATACCAACGGTTGATAGAAATTTACTTTTTTTTTCTTTTTTGTTTATTTGTTTATTTTAATTTCAATTGTTAAATGAAGTATGTATTAAATATAAGAAAAAATTCTATTAGTATGTAATCAATGGACGGTAGTGAAACACAAATATCATATCAAAACGATAGTCAAACAACTGCGTCAACAATGGGTACGGTTGATACACAACGTCCACATTACACAGTACCTGGAATATTACATTTTCTTCAACATGAATGGACTAGATTTGAAATTGAAAGACAACAATGGGAAACTGAACGAGCAGAATTACAAGTAAAATAATATTTCAAATTTTCTCTATTTTATATTTTTTATATAGGCACGTATCGCTTTTCTTCAAGGCGAAAGACAAGGACAAGAAAATTTAAAAGGTGCACTTGTTAGACGAATTAAAATGCTTGAATATGCATTAAAACAAGAAAGGTTAATTATAATTATTTTCTTATTAATTCAATAACCTTATTTTTTTCTCTATAGATTAAAATTTAATAAACTAAAATATGGTACTGAATCAAATCCATTAGATGATCAAAAACCTTTATTAAACGATGCACAAATTGATGATGGTTAATTTCTAGAAATTTATAATTTAAAACAAATCGTTTTCATTTTTAGATGAAAATAAAGATGATTCAAGTTTAGCGTTCGGTGGTAGTAGTGTTTCCTTTAAACAAGGTCGTCAATTACTTCGACAGTAAACTATTTCTTTCTTATCAATTTATATATATATATATATTGTGTTTAGATATTTAAAAGAAATTGGTTATGTTGATACAATTATTGATATTCGTTCCACAGCAGTTAAGAAACTACTAGGAATTAAAAGTGAAACTAATATTAATGGAAATAATGCAATTAATTCAACATCACCAGGTTTGAATGGTGATATTAAATCAACGAATGAATCAAAAAGGTGAATAATTATTCATAATGTTTTCCTAGAAAGCAAAATGACATTGATCGATTCAAAGGTCAAAAAAATGATTGTAACTTGAGAAAAAAAAACCCTTTAGGTGCAAATCAGTCTAGACTAGTCCTAATTTTAATAGGATCTAAGTAAAGAATAATATATCATTTTATGTACTGAATATTGTTTTTTTGACCTACTGGTAAATGTACAAATCGAAATTATTCATTGTTCTTAAAGTTCTTCAAAATATACGAGTCAAGGTTATTTATTTATCTAATTAAAATCATAATGATTTACTCAGCAGGAGAGACTTCCTTAAAAATTTTTCATACTGAGACATTCTTTAAAAGTTAAAATATCAGATAGTATTCGATGTTATATTATATTATAAATAGATTCTGATGAGTGTTGACAGAATTGTCAAAAACATCTACTGTCAAGATTTATTTGACAGAACAAATATTCATAAGTAACCGTCACTATAGATTAGTTTATTATGTCTAAAAATGAAGGTATACAGATCTCTTTTTTTTTGTTTGTTCTAGAGTCATTCCTAATATAGTTAAGAATGCTTCAAATGATTTTAATAAATCACTTGCTTCATTAGTTTTTCTAAAAGATGATCAAACTGATGACGATAATACGTAAGATTTATTGTTATGAAAAAAAAAAACAATTTTAACATATATTTATATTGTATTTTATTAGTGATGATGGTATTGATCCTAATCGTATTATAATTAAATCTAATCTTGGTAATACATCCAATGTTAATCATCAAAATTCTGGACTTGATACACTCAATGATCTTGACAGTGAAGAAGCTGCTTTACATGAATTTGATTTTCTTAGTGGCGATCCATCTGCTGCTGGTTCTGGTTTAAGTATTAATGAACTTAATTCAACTGGTATAAAAAAATTTCTCAATAAAAAAAATATATATACATTTTTTTATTTTTTTGAAAAAAACAAAGATATAAATAATGATGAATGGAATGTTGATCCATCGCGAATAAATCGTCTAAAAGAGGAATATAAACGTGATCGTCATGTAAAACAAGCGTATCAATCAGCAACTATTACAAATGCAACATCAGCATCAATTCGAAATAGTCTTTTTAATAATGGTAATGTTGATATATCTTCTGATCAACGTTCATTTCCAGAAGATGAACAAAGTAATATATATATATACATTGAAAATTGAATGAAACTATTATTATTTATTAGTTGATTCAATGATGTTTCGAAATAGTAAAAATTTTATTGGAGAAAATGCGATGGAAAGTCTTGATGAATTAGCACGTGTGACAGTTTCAAATGATAATGAACTTCAAGATGAAGTATAGATAAAAAATATTTCTTTTTTTTTATTAAAATTGATCTTTTTTAGACAACATCAAGTAATTCATCTGATTCTAGAAAAACATGGAATGTCAAATATGCTTTAAGAAGGTATTGATAAAATCAATGAAAAAATAAATTATCCTAATTATTATTATTATTAGTCATTTGGATGGAGTACGTTGTGTTGCATTTCATCCAGTAGATTCAATTGTTATTACTGGATCGGAAGATCGTACACTTAAATTATGGAATCTTGAAAAATCAGCAATTTTAAGAAAGTAAAATATAAAATAGAATTTTTGTATAATTTAAAATCATTGAATATATATTTTTTCTTATAGAGCGACAACAACAGCACAAGATCTTGAACCAATCTATACATTTCGGCGGCATACGTAAGTTAACACCAGATGTGATTTTAATACTCTAGATTCCATTATTTTCCTCTCAAACTAAAGTCAAAATGTCTGATGTGTTGGTCCCTTAGGATCAATCTTTGATCTATTCAATAGAGTAGACACTATAGAAAATCTTCTCAATCAATCTAGAAACGATGTTCCCAGAAAAAGATCCAGGGGTCTTTCCTTTGCTAGAAAACAACTGATTACTTTTACTAGCTAAAAAGCCTTTTTTCTTGGATGACAATACCCCTTTTAACATATTCCTAATTGCATGCCTGGGAATTATTATTGTCAGTTTACAACGATATTGTACTCTGTCGTTCCATCCAATAAATACGATTGAAGAATCATTCAGTTAATAATTATTGTCATAGAAATGCTAATTTAACAAATCAAGTATTTTCTTGCGTGTGTGAATATATCAATTCAAAAAAATTCGAATTATCCTTTTCTTGAATAGAAAATATTCTATTGATAGATTAATAAAACGGCATTTTTTACGGGTTTATTCTTCTTCTTATATTGATGAATTCAAACCGGTGTTGTGTTAAGAACTAATTTGAATGTATTTACGCTCACTGCATCTTTAACAAGACATTCGTCCTAGAATAATTTTTTGCAAGAATAAACAAGTAATCGGTACTAGTAGTTTTAATGAATTGTTTTTTCAAAAAAAAAACTGTTAGAAAGATTTAGATTAGTAAACATCGATCTCGATGAATTTTATTGGCTTCATTGATGTCTATCATTGGTTTTGATAAATAGAGTAGATAACTATATATATATATATTACTTTGTCTAGTGGTCCTGTTCTATGTTTGGCAATGAATCCATCTGGAGAACAATGTTATAGTGGTGGTCTTGATTCAATTATATCCGTCTGGAATATTCCTAATTCAGAAATTGATTCATATGATGCATATGGTATTTTAAATATTATTTTTTTTGAAAGATATATTTATTTATTTTTTTGTTTAAAGATTCTAATGTATTATGTAAAGTGTTAGATGGTCATACAGATGCTGTCTGGCAATTAGTGATATCCGGTCAAAAACTATTGTCATGTTCAGCTGATGGATCAGTACGATTATGGGATCCAAATTTATCTCAACCATTACAATCAACATTTCATAGTAAATATTTTCCTATTTTGATTTCTTTCTCTATATAATACATATATGTAATAGATGAAGGTATTCCAATATCTATCGATTGGTTAATGCAAGATACAAATCAATTTGTTGTTACTTATGATACATTGAAAACTTTTATATATGATACAGAAACTGGTAAAGCTTTAAGACAGATTAATAATGATGATTCATCATCTGGAGATCCGAATTATCGTATTAATCGATTAATTAGTCATCCATCTCAACCTTTAATTATCACAGCTCATGACGATCGAAAAATTCGATATTTTGATAGTAATTCTGGTAAGATAAAATTATACAAAAAAACAATATATATATATACACTTTTAATAGGTCGTATGATCCATTCAATGGTTGCTCATCTTGATACTGTTACATGTTTAGCAATCGATCCTCAACAAACTTGTCTTTTATCTGGTAGTCATGATCGTTCTATACGATTATGGGATTTTGAAAATAAAAATTGTATTCAAGAATTAACAGCACATCAAAAGAAAGATGATGAATCTATACATGACATTGCATTTCATTCCTCGAAACCTTATATGGCTAGTGTAGGAGCCGATTCAATCGCTAAAATCTATGCTTAACAAAATACACCGTGAACGACTGTTTTTTTTTCTAGTTTTGTCTTGTATTCTCAACTTTTTCCATCATATCCTCTAAGATTATCAAATTTTTCTTCTTCTTTCCTACATGTATATAAATTAACAACAAGACATATTTGTATGTGTCGTTTCTTTCTTTCTTTCTTTTTTTTCATGAACAACAAATATCCTTTGACAGAATGTTACATTTTTTTTCTTCTTTCCTTTTTTTTTGGCTACATATCTATCTATCTTGTATTTCTTGTCTTTTACTAAGAAAAAAAAATATATAAACATAAAATTTCGAGCACGGTGTGTAGAAAACACACTCAATTTGATTTATCAAACTATAGACAAATACATATATATATATATAAGAAATGCTGATATATGAATGATGATGAAGTGCTTCAAGACAAATGTCTAATCTTGTCATAAGAGATATGTCCGAATCTATTTTTCTTTCTTGTATTGACTATACATACACACATACACACCGGTTTCATCTATTTGCCCTTTTAGTCTTCTATCAGCTAAGCAAATGAGTGTCTTGCTTTCTATTCGTATGCATAAATGACGATGATCATCAATAGTGTTTTTTCTTCTATTTTTCCGATAGTGATAGAAAGAAGAGAATATAGATTATCTTCGACATTTTCTTCTTCTTCTTCTTCCACATCTGTTCTAAATATCCTCATACATACACGTCAGTTGTTTGTGTTATTCGTGCTCGATTTATCGTTGTATTAATGCGTGTCGATACAGGCCATCCACACAACGGATATCGTTCTCATCATGGAAGAAAATATGACGATCGATTAAAGCAAAGAAATTATCGGTAAAAAAAAAGGAATATTAAAAAAATCTTTTTTAAATTAATTTTTTGATTATCTTAGTAATAATGATTATCATTCTCACATTAATAAGAATCATCGATCATGTATTTCACAAGTATCACGACATCAACAAAATGATGATTATTCACCTTCAAATCGAATAGGAAATAGTCCGGGGACTTATTTTCCTACTCGATCTGATCGCTCAATAAATAACCATGATACTTATCCACTTTTATTAACTGAACAAACGGATCTCTCCAGTGGTCTACCCCCTACTGGGTCATATTATAATTCTTCACCATCAATACGTGATCGGAATTTATCATCGCATTATACTGATTCAGAACGCAATCGATATCAACCATCGACAAATTATCGGTTAATTTTGTTCGATTTTGACTAAATATTTATAATTATGATCTAATTTTTATTTTAGACGAGACAATTCTCCTCCAGCATCATCATCTTCTTATCGACATAATTATATATCTCGTAATAATGGGAATGATTTATATATTCATGATGAATATCGTTCTCCAACACCTCCATCTAACCGCAATACTACTGATGCATATAACGATATATATCAAACAAATGACTACAACAACCGTTCAGAAAGATATGATATCGCGCGTAAGTAACATCAGAAAAAAAATATGTTGTTGCTATTATTAGTTTCATGCTGTTCAAAAGTGATTGTTTATATTCCCTGGTCATTAATAAATGACTCATCTCGCTATTGACCGTATATAATCTATTTTGATTTTGGAATAATTTCACTTGATTACTAATATACAAAATTTGATATGTATATTTATTAGTTTATTTTGTTTTATAGAAAATCGTCGTAGTTCATCAAGAGATTATACAATGACATCTGTACCATCGCCTAGTTATCGTTCTGATCCATATCGAACATCATCAAACATTCCATCATCTTCATCACCATCATCATCAGCAGCAGCAGCAGCAATATCTTCTTCATTATATATTACTCGTGATCAATATATACAATCACTTCCATCTGTACGAGAAATTGATTGCCGATCGAGAACTTATGGAATGTCAACATCAATGGATCATGGTCAAATAATTACAAATAAATCATCGGATCATTATTATGATAATCATCGTTCATATAGAGAACGTTCGAATTTAAAACGTTTAAGATCAAATTTTCATAATATTGAAACAAAACGACTTATGAGACGTTAATAGAAATGTCTATTTTCTATGTTTTTTTAAGTTCTGTCACAATGTTTATTAATGAATACATGTCAAATATGTTTTGCAAACATCTTCATTTACTCTCTCT